TACTCCATTAAATCTAACACTCTTAATACCAACAAACATCATAACTACACCAACCTGTTACCTTACTCTCAAACTGTCACTAGTATCAAAATATTCTTATCAAATACATTATCGCCTCCAAAAATTTTAAATTAGGACACTCTCTCTTTCTAAATAAGCATTTTATGACAGATACGGGTCCCACCCAAGGCTAACACTAGTTTTAAATCTAAAAATATGTTCCCATCAATATAAAGTTATTGAATAACGTACAATGTCAACTCCACGAATGCTTTTCAGATGTCAAATTTGAACTAACATTCAAAACAATCATATACCTCATACAAACACATAACAAATTCTTGGTGGCTCCAATAATTTGATATACTATAAGCTCATAACCTCTACTCATCATCAACTACCTATGTAACACATCATGACAATTTGTATCATACCATCAATAAAGTAGTTTCAATTTCCTCAAAATCCTCATTAATCATGTAAAATTGTAGGTCAACACCGTTGAACATTAATAAGTTACCTATCATAATTTGGACAATCTAGCTCGACATAACCACATATAATCTTTCCCACATCATTACTTGTCACCCAAACAAAACTCAATCTTTAGAAAACTTTATGATAATTCCTAGTAAGTCTGTACTAGTTCATATGTCACAATCATATCTAAACTCATAGGTAAAAATCAATCAATTGTTCAACTACAAACCAAGGGCTTATACAAGAGGTCTTATTCCTTCACTCTTCTTAAATTCTTGCCATGATAGAAATTTTAATTATCTTGAACTCTTCAATACACCAATTTTTTTATTTGCTAACTCACTTAACAAGTCTTATTCTTTGTCCAAAAACCCATGACATTTTTACCTTATCCTCTAAACCATAATGTTATGTGAAACTCCCCTTAGGTATAACAATCAAAAGTAACAAAATTTACTACTCAAATTTTTAAGTCCTTCCAAATGTTTCGTACTCAATGTGATTGATCATCCTCACCTTACCAATTCATACCTTGACAAATCATACAACCACAAGCCTAAATTCACCATGAAAAACTTGAATTTTGAATCTAGCTGTGTAACTCAATCCCTTTATCCCTTACCATTAGCTCATACCTTGAAGATTTCTATGAATTCACGTATCTTAGCTTATAATTGATCGTCTTTCCATTGATCTTATCATATCTTTCGCTAAAAATTCAATCATACTCATTACCAAACTCAAAACCAGGAAATAAACTTATCATCACAGTCAAGTTGGACGTATGAAAACTTCTTTCTCAAATCTTATCCAACAACTTTTAACCAATATGATGAATTAGTGAAACTATAACCATAACTAAGGCAAAACGGGTTGAACCAAGCATCCCTAAATCCAATTCTCAATCCCTTTTAAGATACCTCTTTAGCCCTTGTAATAAGACAAAATATTCGTGGTCTCACTTCTTTATAAACGCTAAACAACATTCATTATTTTTGTTATTATGACTTTAGCTCTTTTTAATTCTATTCGAGCAACATCCCAACTCCTCGTAAAATTTATCATAAAATCACACTACTTATCAAATAGAAACAACCATAACCTTAGATACTAAAAAGTAATCTTACCATACAAAACCCTTTTACCCAACAGACCTTATTATATTGTTGCATTTCAACCACGATTCATTAATATAAAACCTTATTACCATCATGCTTAGTTAGCCCTTTCCATAACCACGAATTCAACCTCGCTATCAATATGACAATTCAAACCTAGATATGCTAACCATCCACGGGACTTTCTCAATTTATTCACATTTTCTTACTAAAAATCTCCAATTTCATTCACCCAAGTATACTCACTAAGACCCTTTTTTTTCACTAATAAACTTGTCATTCTGGTATCTATTCATTTTCTTGGAACTTAAGATGAAATCAACGGTCCTCATTTAGAACCCTCGAGATACACTTTTTAACTTAATACATTAGCACCGTATAAAAAATCCACCACTAAAATCTCTCTTATACACGTTGCTTAACCTCAAATATTTGCAATAACAACCTAGTTGATTTCTTAAATGTGAATGCATCATCGAATCTCATTATACGAACATGTGATAAAATTTATAACTCTTTAACTAGTTAGTATTGACATTTGACAATCGACATATTTTTTCAATATACCACTAATGGCACACCGTAAAAAAAAGATCCACCACTCAAATATATCATATCTACCGAGAAGATCATATCCAAAAAGGTCACACATTTCTACCCACCAAATAGCTGTAAAATATTATCAAATTAGTTTTGTTTCTATCCCAGACTATATGTATTCTTTTGTAGGTCAGGTTAATATCAAAAGTAACATCTTGCATAACTCTAACCAAGTAAGCATCGATATATTGTAGAAATTTTAACCTTAATTGGTTCATCATTATTTACTATGCAACCCATTAATGTTATGACAACTATATCAACTGTATTTTTCAAGGTTACACTGTTCATTATCTAGCCATCATTTTAATCATTTCACTTTCAATTGTCAAACTACTCCAGATATTGCCTATACCATAAAAGTACTAATCCCACTACTAGATGAGTAACAAAAAAAAGAAAATAGCATAAGACGTTTATGAAGTCCTCTAAGACATTGTTAAATATACTCGTTTATTTATCCTCAAAGTGAATTATCAAACCATAAGCTCACGCAATTCCTTCGAATCATTGAACATTCCAAATCTGATCACACAACACCTTCAGAAGTATATCACTTTAACCTTAGTACCATCTCTAAAATCCAATGACACCAACTACTGACATGAGGAACTACGCAATAGTCAACACATAAGTGAGAGAGAATGGAATGAATCGACAAAAATCAGAACGGACCAAGTACGCACGATAGAGATTCAAGAAGTGAAGATTTTTCTTAAAAGTCATATTACCCTCTTGAAGATAAGTACAGATTTCTTCGTACCGATCCTCGAGACTCTATTTAGACTCGATTTGTATACACCTGAGACCTATGCACCTGGGGCTTTGATACTATTTTGTCACGACCCAAAAATGGACGTGATGACACTCGTCTTATTCCACCAAGACAAGTCAGCCTAAAACTCAACTATTACAATAAATGCGAAAAATTACTACATTATAAATAAATGATATTTATTATATTTCCAAATTTTCTCTTGTAAAAACTCCTCATATCAACTATAAAAGCTTCTCTTTGTTCCTTAAGTTTTCATCTGTATTTTCGATTCTTTCTATACATGACCTTCACTTTGAAGATCATATTTTAGCTTTCTTTTATGTTGTCCCAAAAATATATATATATAGAAAAGGGGAATAAGACGACAACACAATGTCAACATGTTGGCTTGTGTTGCCTGCTTATTCTCCTCTCTAGTGCTTATTCTGTTTTTTTGTGGGCTCCATTTATATTTTCTATTTACATAGTATATTTATATTTGTACGCTTTAACTTCTACACCTTTCTTAAATTAATATAATATAGGTATTTTATCACAATTTTATATGAGTTAATATATTTTTTAAGATTTATTAAAAATGATTTGTGGATTAAGTAATTAATGTTGAGGGTAAGACATGAAAAAGTTATCTCAATATGCTGAAAGTGAAAAAACTATTTTTAATATAATAGACAAATTAAAGTAAATGAACAGAATATTTGAACGCTTTCTGCTAATTTTCAATGAGAAGATAACACTCAAAAATTGAAAGGATATTATTTTTGTTGTTGTAGCAACTATGATTTCTTTTTTGGTTGACATTAAGAAACAAAAAATTACTTGTGTGGTGATCATTTTTTCACTTCTAAGTTATCAATATGACTATAAAAAAAATGATTCACATTTTTTTAATAATATATTTCTCTTTAATCAAAAATTAGTGTTTGACCGTGAAAATTTGAAATGTAATTTGAAGTAGTGTTACCAATTGAAAGAAATCTCACTATAGCTTATTTTCTAACTCACTTTTATAAATAATATACTACACTCAGGTATCTTGTGGCATGCTTATTTGTTTTAGTATTTCGTGTATCGGTATTTTTAGAAAAAAAAGTAAATTATTTCTATGATACTTCTATTTGTCTAAGACTTTCGACTTTACTTTTCTTCAATCAATTTAAAGTTGTAACTATAACCTGGACATATGAAATAAAATTCAGTTTTAGTTGTAACTATAACCTGGACATATGAGATAAAAGTTTAGTTTTTAATTTACAAGTATGAACTGATAGTGATGAGAAGTAGTCCATCTAAATTTTTGGGCCCATGCCTTGCAAAGACATCACATTTATGTGATAGAAGTAGATATATTGGAAACTAGGCTTCGTGTGAATGTGGATAAACATTGTCTTTTTTATTATTTTTTTACAAACAACCATTAGTATTTGAGCATTTTTTTTTATTTTAAAAAATATTAAATATATTTTTCAAAAGTGCTTTTAGAAAATTACTTTTGGGGAAAACCCTTTTTTTTTAACAAAACAACTTCAGCTATTACCAAATTCACTTATTTTTCTCCCATAATTTTGGTCAAACACTTCACTTTTTTTTCATTTTGAAAGCAAGCACCTTTAATAGTAAGCACTTTTAAAAGACAACAACAAAAGTATTTCTTCAATTTCAATTTATTTGGCTTACTTTCGATTTTAATGCGTTCATTAGATCATAAAATTTAAAAGTCTTGTATTATTAATTTTAGTAAATTTAGTATGAATTATAAAATAAGCCAAACAATTATAAATGAAAAGAAGTAAACATTAATACGCTTTCAAAAAACCTGATCTAAGTTAAAGAGTAGAAAGACAAAAGCTTGATCAAAGTTGAAGAGTAGAAAGACCCATAGACTAAATTCAAGTAAAACGTTTTAAAATAGGTATGAAGATGAAATAGATTAGTGAGGAACCGAAAGAAGTAATCAACAAATGATATGATAATCGAACGAAAAAGATTACAAGAGGTTATCAAAGAAAGAAGTAATCAACAAATGATATGAAGACACTCAATTTACATTTGAATGAATAACAAGAATCTGTTTGAATGATATATGTTTCTCAGTACAGAAATACGTATCTAAAATTCAATCCAATTTGACTTGAGTATTCATCATTTCTTCAACTTCTAACTCCATTTCACAATGCATCAAGATTGTTATCTAGCTGCAGTCAACAATTAATGAAGAGAAAAGGGAATCATTCAGAAACAGGGGAACTAATAATGAAGAGAGAAGAAGAAGCATATATGTATGTATGTATACATACCATATATACTTGAATAAGAAGCAGGCAAGAAGCACAATTAAGATGAAAGTGATGAGAACAAGACTCCAATTGACGATGGTAATCCCTCTCATAAACCTTCGGCGGCGGACTTTATCTACATCAACATCAGCATAAGCCGTATAGATGAGATGAACTGGAGTGTAATTCAGACGAACATCCAAGTTGGATTTTCTCCGTGCTTCAAACGTAGTGCCGTTTGCAGGTTGATATGGATTAGCTGATGCCAAGAAGACGAGATTACATTGACTTTGATTCCGAGATTCAAGCATTTCAGTTCCCCCATTGTTGGAATTTCTCAATGGAGCTTTGTACTCTGTTTTCTCTTGTAATGATTTCACAAATATACGATCTAAATGGGTTTCGTTCAGATAGCTATCAAGGTTCTCCCTAGTTTCTCTTAGCCTCATCATCCTTGATACTGTAAAAACATTCAAATCAAAGATTCGTAACTCCATCAGGAAAATCAAAAAAAGAAGAAGAGAAAACAGAGATATGAAGGTGTCATGTTTACCAGGAATACTGGAGTAAATCAAAAGGTAGAGTAAGAAGAGAAGTGTAACGTTGGAAACGATAACAGAGACCCGTAAAGCCATTTTCATGAATGTTAGTTCTTAAGCTTTTCTTCTTCTTCTTCTGTAAATTTTGTATCTCTGAAGAAAGAAGAAGAAGAAGAAGAAGCAAAAATCAGTTACTTATGTAAATAAAATTCAATTTGTTAAAAAGACGGCATTGGCTTTTCACGTGCCAAAATTTTGTTAAAATCAGTTATATAAATTGCATTACCATATGTAGCCAATTATATTTAATAACTTCTTTTAAAAAATGTAGATGGTACGAGTTGATTGTCCAATCCTCGTAAAATAATGTACATTTGTTTGTTTATTTTAGCAAATTAAGAAAATTTTATTATTTTAGTCGTCTGTACTATCATATAAGTGTATTCAAATTGCCTGAAAGCTGCACAACTGAAGTGTTTTTGACATGATATTTAGTGTTGTTCAATCTCAAATTTAATATGAATTTAGTATATATATAACCTGTTGTTATGCGATAATCTTTTGATTCACATGTAAAAATTAACTTTGCATGGTAGCCTCTTTTTAGATGTAGTTATCAATGGTAACTGCTTGAACACTTAAAGCCGAGGGGATTCAAAACTAAAGTAAAAGTCTTCATTAATGTATTTTGATAGATCTTATGCTCAACTTGGTGACTATGTTATATGAATCAGCCACACAACTTCAATTTATTTGTACATTACCACTATTTTGTAATTTACGGAAAAATTAAAGTTCATCACAACAAAATAAATATTGAGCCCGTGCGACTCCTACTAGTTGTTTATTTTTTATATAAGAAGAGGGAATAACCAAGCACCACACTGTCAAAATGTGTGCTTGGTGATGTTGAGGGTAATTGTGTCATTTCACATAACTACTTTTTTATGTTCTGCTAGACACATAAACTTTCATTTATCTATGAATGCTAAGCTTCATGTAAAGTGACTCTTCTCCAAAAACATTTCTATCCAGATCGCTAGCTTTCCATCTCATCTTGTTCTTAATTTTGCACTAAAGTGGATTCTAGAACTTCTCCTTATTTATGTAAGTCAACTCTTGATTTGTGGCAAATGAACTGGCCTTTTAATCCTATAATTGTGTTTTATACTATTTGTTATGTATTTCGTCTGTTTTGCTTCAGAATTTCATTTGTTGACCTATAATTCTTGCTCATTTAGTACTATTTTGTCTGCTAAATGTGCCCTATTCATGTTTTTATTTGGTTACTTCATTTCAACTTGTTCATCAATTATGTTATAGAAAAAACAAAATTCAATACTTCTTTTTCCATATATATTTTCCTCTGTGACATTCTCATTCTTTAAGTTTATGTTATCATAGGCAGAAATAAGATTGTTTTTCTCTTTCTTTCTCTCCTTTGTGACTTTACTAATATGAGTTTCTATACTATAACTCTATAAATAAAATATCAGATTTTATAGGATAGTCGGCCTTATGTTGCCTTATCAAGAGTCAACAACCTTAGTGCTTTTAGGAAAATTACTTTTTGGGAAAACCTCCCCCCCCCCCCCCCCCTTTTTTTTTTTTAACAAAACAATTCCTGCTATTAGCGAATTCACGTATTTTTCCCTCAAAATTTTGGTCAAATACTTCACCTTTTTTTTCTTTTAAAAGAGATCTAAGCACTTTCAAAAAGAAAAAGAAAACACTTTGTTAGAATGTCTACGTCCACTATCAATCAATGGACCAGGTCCCTTGACACACAAATATGGATATAACAGAAAGTAAATGTAGTTTAACAACAGAGGAGTTTTACGTGGAAATCTCCTTGCTCAAGGGAGTAAAACCACGACTTGTCTCACAGGATTTTCACAACCGTTTCACAAATCTTCACAAGCAAAAGTAAACAGGTTACACAAATGTGAGAAAAAAATTGTTAATCTCACCAACAAGCAATAATTCTATTGCTTGATGAGCCTAAGTAGATGTTATTCTACCCACTAAGCTATCACTCTAGACAACTTAGAATTTTCTAAGCAACACAACGGTTACCCACTAAATTAGTTCAACTAACTAACTTAGAATTTCAAATCAAACCACAGTGATTCCTTTATAGATTTAGGATTAGTTTACAATGTAAGACCGAAAGAATATATTCTCAAACAACTACACAATATACGCCTGAGATTAGGTTGTTCTTAAATGATTCTTCTGCTTGATTTTCTTAAGCCTTTGCAAGAGTTCTTGAATGTGTTTTTTCAAGTTGCAAAAACTAAAGACCAATGTGTGGAAAGATGATAGTGTATAGACAAGCCACTTTCCTTAAACCCCTTCCTCTTCATGAAGAATGGGAGATTTTTGGTTGAAGAGATGCATCCAAGACTGAATCTCAACCATGTCATGAAGTGAGTCCATTCCAGGAAAATTAATTATCCTCATGTCAAAAACCCTGCCAGCCAGTACAGACTGCTTCCTCATATTGTCAACAGTCTCTTGTTTGTTGACCTGCTCTTCAATTTTTCCTTGTGTACTAGGTCCCTGTGACCTTTTCCTCTTTCCTTTAGTAGTCTCCTCTGTGGATTTTGTTTGCTCAGCTCTCTTGGTTCCTCTGGGTTTTGTCTTTCCTGACCTCTTTTTCCTGTATCTTTTTTCAGTCTATTCAGTAGACACATCTATCACACAAGACCCAGACATTTTAAAATTGGACACTTTGAAAGTTCTAGCACTCTGGTTTTCTGCTGTAGACTTAGCACTGGATTTCAGAGCATCATCCATCATCTAATTGGCATCAAATTTAGTAGTAGGTCTCCTTTTATACACTTCCCCCACCACTTTCTCTTTTCCCCTTTAGATGCACTTACATCTCTCCTTTCAACTTTCCACTGTATAGATTGTTCATGACCTGCTGAGTTAGAGGAATTAGAGGATGGATATCTCCCAAAATCTGGAGTTCTATCAAAGATAGGTTGGGTCTCTCTGATATCTTCATTATGAAAAGGTTCACTTTCCTCAACCCTCGCTTCCTGCACATCATAGCAAGACTTTCAATTACCAATTCTTCACTCGCAGCAAGAATGTTCGACTCAGAAGTTTTGTTCCTTGGCAAATCTCTTTCAAAAAGAGCATATGAAAACATTTCATGATGGGGACAAGGTCCAGTAGGAACATTTGAACTGTTCATATCTATAGAATGAAAAGGGTTTTCGAGATTATCTAAGGGAGAACTTGTTGGAAGATTAGATCCTGACCTTGTGGATGACGGAGAATAGAAAGCAATTGGTTCAATCTCACTAAGTGCCATAAGTATTTGCTTAGAAGCAGACGAAGGGTCAGACATTTTATCAAGAAGACGAATAGAGTAGCAGTAGTGGAGAATGAAAAATGTAGAGATTAAAGCAAATTGAGCCCTTTTTTTCTCGACAGAGTGAAGGTATATTGCAAAAAGAATGAAGGATTAAGAAGGAGAAAAAGGGTTTAAAAAGAAATGAAACGGTGCCAAGTCCCTATTGATTGGACGCGTCGCTTGGAAAGTAAGCGATGGGACTAACGGTCAGAATAACCGATGATTGACACATGGTTTGATCAATGGTCACGTTATCTCATTTTGAAATTAATGTATGAATTCTTACCTCGACTAGGACCATGTCCCATAATGCAATTTTATCATCATTCCTCAAATGTTCTAGCCACGTCTTTGCTTTTCTAGTCCTTCATGAATGTATTCCTGCAATAGGTACAATAGCGATCTAACTTAGATAAAATATTATTGACACAAAGGATACCTGCACTACAAGTTTAGCCATCAGGGAAATTCAACGATTGAATGACTGGAAATCATTTCGAAGTCATCATGTCCAACTTCAACCTGTTACTCTCAAATTGATCTTTGCTAAGAGCCTTGGTGAAGATATCTGCAATTTGTTCCTCCGTTGGACAATATGTAAGCACAATGTTTCCTTTTTCAACATTGTCTCTCAGAAAATGATGTCTAACATCAATTTGCTTGGTTCTCTTGTGGTGAACAAGATTCTTTTCCATACTGACTGCACTAGTATTGTCACACATAAGAGTATATCCTTGATGATTACTCCTAAGTCCTCTAAGTGTTGTTTGATCCATAACAATTGTGAACAACATGCAGCAGCTGCTACATATTCAGCTTCAGCTGTTGAAAGAGCTACTAAATTCTGTTTCTTAGTTCCCCATGAGATAAGTGAAGATCCAAGGAAATGAGACATCCCTGAAGTGATCTTTTATTCAACTTGATAATCAGCAAAATCAACATCTGCAAAACCAACAAGATCAAAAGTGTCACCTACTAGGAATAAAAGGAACATGTCCCCTGTCTTCTTCAAATATCTTAGAATCCATTTTGCATCCATCAAATGTGAATCACGAGGACATGCTTGGAATTTAGCACACATTCCAACACTATATACGATATCAGGTTTGCTAGCAGTCATATACAATAAGGATCCAATGATTCCCCTACACATGGTTTGATTCACAAGAGAATAAAATTCATCTACTATAAGCTTGGAGTTTGTTCCCATAGGAGTATCAATAGGTTTAGAATCAACCATATTGAATTCTTCAACAGATCCTTAATGTACTTCTCCTGACTGATTGAGATTCCATTGATGATTGCTTGATTTGTAGTCCCAGAAAGAAGGTCAATTCACCCATCATGCTCATCTCAAACTCTTTTTCCCATTAATGATGAAAATTCTTCACACAAATGCTCCGATGTAGCTCCAAAGATATTGTCATCCACATATACCTATATAATAAGCAATTTATGTTCTCTTTTTAATAAAAAACAAGGCATTGTCTATTTTCACTCTTTTGAACCCATTTTCAACAGAAACTTTGACAGCCTTTCATACCAAGCTCTGAAATTTGTTTTAAACCATACAGAGCCTTATTCAATTTGAACACATGATCTGGTAACTCAAGATCCTCAAACCCAGGAGGTTGTTTAACAAACACCTCCTCTTTTAAGTCTCCATTTAGGAAAGCACTCTTGACATCCATTTGATATAGCTTGAATCCCATGAATGCTGCAAAGGCTATGAGAATTCTGATAGCCAATATCCTTGCAACAGGAGCAAAGGTTTCATCATAGTCTATACCTTTCTCCTGATTGTATCCTTGAACAACTAATATGGATTTGTTTCTAGTAGTCACACCATTTTCATCAAGCTTGCTTTTTAAAACCCATCTAATTCCTATAACTGTTTTGTCAACAGGCCGAGGAACTAGGTACCACACCTTACTTCTTTCAAAATGTTGGAGTTCTTCATGCATTTAATTTATCCAATCTGCATCACCTAATGCCTCTTTCACATTCTTAGGCTCAATTGATGATATAAACGCTGAGAATGCAACTAGACTTTTTATTTTTGATCTAGTGTGAATTCCAGAGTTCAGAGGTGAGATGAGATTATCAAGTGGATGTGATGACCTGTGTTGCCATCCTGGTCTAAAGGTCAACTGGTTTAGCTGATCAGTATGCTCTTCTTCTTCAAGGAATTCTTTATTTTTTGGAGAGTTTGAGATATTCTGACTTGAGTTTAGAATGGTACCAGATTCCTCCTCCCATTTTTCAATTCCATTAGCCTTTTCAGATGAGCTTTGATCAGCATTGTCAATCCCCAACTGGTCATTTACATCAGCTTCAGTCCCCTCAATTTTCTGAGAATTAAACAGATCAATTAACTCATCTTCATTATTTGATGCAGCACCTTTCAGATTTCCATCTTCAACAAACACAATATGAATACTTTCTTCAATACATTGAGTTGTCTTATTGAAAACTCTGTATGCTTTACTTGATGAAGAATATCCTACAAACACTCCTTCATCACTTCTAGGATAAAACTTTCCTAGATCATCCTTTCCATTGTTCAAAACAAAACATTTGCATCCAAATGCGCTAAGGTAGCTCAACATAGGTTTTCTGTTGTTGAGTAATTCATAGGGAGACTTATTTAGTGAAGACCTTATCAAACATATGGTAGTAACATGACATGCTGTGTTGATTGCTTCAGCCCAAAAACTTTGAGGAAGATTTGACTCAATAATCATGGTTCTTGCAATATTTACAAAGGTTCTGTTTTTCCTTTCCACTACTCCATTTTGCTGGGGAGTTCTTGGAGCAGAAAAATTGTGACTAGTGTCATTTTTCATACAGAATTGATCAATTTTTGAGTTTTCAAACTCAGTTCCATCATAGACCTAATTCCAGCAATCACTTGATTCAACTTTGTTTGAATCATTTTGAAAAACACTATCAATTCTTCTGGTGTTTCTGCTTTTGATCTTAAGAACCTTGTCCATGTGTACCTTCAGTAGTAATCAACTATCACCAGAATGTATTTCATTCTACTTCTACTTTGAACCTTCAAAGATCCACATAAATCCATGTGTAGCAACTCCAATACTCTTGATGAGGTTACTTGCTTCTTTGGCTTGAAGGATGATCTGATTTTTTTTCCTTTGACATAGGATTCACAAATTTTACTTTCACAAAATTTCAACTTTGGCAGACCCAGGACCAGGTCCTTAGAAATCAGTTTATTCAATAAAGATGAGCTCACATGCCCCAGTCTTCCATGCCACATATCAACATTTTCATTTTGAGCACTAAGACATGTCAGATCATCTCCATGATATGTTTCTAAGTTATCCACATATATGTTTTTACTTCTATGAGCAGTAAGAATCACTTTCTTTGTAGTTAGATTAACTACAATGCACTTCTCAGATGTAAACTTCACTTCATTTCCCTTGTCACAACTTTGAGACACACTCAAAAGACTATACTTCAACCCATTGACATGATACACGTTGTCAATTGATTCCCCAAGCGATTTTCCCACTTTATCAACACATAAAATATACCCCTTCTTTCCATCACAAAAAGAGACACCTCCTCCCTAAAGTGCCTTGAGTGAGAGGAAATTTTTGATATCACCAGTCATATGTTTAGAGCATCCACTGTCCATGTACCAACATTGACTGCTGCTCCTCTCACTCACCTGCAACAAGAATCACTTGTTAGGCTTGGGAACCCATTTCAATTTGAGTTCGCCAAAAGCAGACAAAGGAGTGATCAAAGTGTTTCTAGACCAATGAGGTAGTTTCAGATTCTTTTTGACAAAGGATTTTTGAGCAGAATCAAGTCTTTCTTTGAATACCTTTGGGTTGAGAATTCTTTTGTGGGACCAGGTCTCTCTTTTGAAACCCTTTGCTTTTCTGTATACTAAAGACTTTCTCCAAGAAGTGCATTCTTCTTTTAAATGCCCATTTTTACCACAATGAAGTTACATCAAATTGTCAGACACAAATACATATTTGCTGTGAGGATTGAAAGGACGAGTAATATTCAAACTTCCTAGACCCTTCTTGTTGAAATTACTTTGATTTGTTATGTCTAAAAGCAACTTAGAAGATTTTGTCCACTTAAGAGATTTTTCAAGTTCATCTTTAAGTTTGACAATATCTCTTTCTAAGCTGTTGCTCCTTTCCAAAGCCAAACCAAGATTAGTCTCAGAGGTTTTCTATTTTTCTTCAAGCTCAACTTGTAAAGCATTAGACTTTCCTTTTTGCTTTTTAGCTTTCTCATTTATTAGATGCAACTGTTTTTAAGTTCTATTTTGTCAGATTCCAGAACAACCATTTTATCTTCAATTTTCAGCATTTTCTCATCCATTTTATCTCTATTTTCATATAAACTTTCAAGCTCAGCATTCATAATATCTCTTTCAGAAGTTAACTCAATAATTGAATCAATCATAATATTTGCTAATGTTCTATATTTTTTAAGAGAATAGGTATTCAAATCATGTATTATATTAAGAAGAGTTACCTTTTCCTCATCATCTTCATTTTCTGAATGAGCCATGAAAGCAAACATCTCATAATATGGTTTTATCTTCATGAACTACCACCATTGACACATCATTTGGTTTATCAAGATCTTCTGACTCACTTGAAGAGTCTCCCCATGCAGCAAGAGCTTTCTTGACCACATAGTCAGCAACAACTCTCTGATCATTCTTATTGAGTACCAGGTCCCTTCGCTTTTCTTTATCACCTCTTGGTTTTTGATATTCTTTGCTTTCAACTTTGAGTAATGGAAACTCTCTTATAAAGTGTGTAGCTTTTCCACACTTAAAACAAGTATCATTTTGAGTGGCAGTTCGAGGAACATTTGCTCCCTTTCTAAAACCTTTGTTTTTCCTCACAATCTTCTGAAATTTTCTGATGAGGTAAGCCATATCATCATCATCAGTGGAGTCCTCTTCAGATCTGTATTTCAGCATGAAGGACTTATCTATCTTGACTTCCTTCTGTGACTGATCATGACTTCGGTTCATCTCATAAGTCTTTAGATTTCTAATGAGAGCATCCATTGTTAACTCTTTCAGGTCCTTTGCTTCAGTAATAGCATCAACCTTACTTTCCCAAGACTTGGTATGGATTCGAAGCACTTTCCTAACTTGCTTATTCATACTGATAGGTTCTCGAAGACTAATCTACTCATTTCTGATGGATGACAGTTTAGTAAACATTTCATGAATAGTTTCACCTTCTCTCATTTTGAAATTTTCATACTAAGATGTGAGCATATCAATCTTTGACTCTTTTACTTGTTCAGTTCCCTCATGGGCTTATTTTAAGCAATCCCAGATCTCTTTTGCAGATTCACAAGCTAAGACACGATTGAACTCATTAGTACCTATACCACAGACAAGAAGTTTCTTTGCTTTGGACCCCTTTTCAATCTTCTTCCTATCAGTTTCATCATATTTTCGTCTAGTCTTTGGAAGAAAAATTCTCTCCTCTATCTTACTTCTTGTCTTTTTCTTCTTATATTCTGAGCTTTCTTTACAACAAAATAATGATAATTAAAATAAAGAATTAAGGACAAAAAGGTGATATGCGTGGTCAACATAAAATGATTTTTTAAGTTGAAAAAACATCTTTCACCTAGCTTTTAGCTTTTGACTTAAAATAAGTCAGACACTCTAATAAATGAAAAGCTGACTTTTAAGTCAGTTTGACCATCTTTTAAGCCCATCCAACCAGGCTCGAAGTCTTTTCATAAATAAAGATGAATAATAGATATTCTTTATTTGTTTCCTAATTTCTTTAAAAAATGATACTAGAAATTTATTTTACAATTTACAAAAATATATTGAATAAAAAATAATGTCATGGATAAATTTTAAATAATTTAGAACACAATGGATTCTATCCAAATGACAAAAACTATTCTTTATTTTTCCTAATTTCTTTAAAAACAATAATATAAATCTAATAAAAAATTTACAAACATATTTTCAATAAAAAATAACGCCATGGATAAAATTCTAATAATTTAGAACACAATGGATTCTATCCAAATGATAAAAACCAAACAAATATTTTAAATTCTTTAATGGAAAATAAAACATTAATTAAAATGAGATAATTTTAAGTTTAATTTATTGTATTTTAAATCACATAAGACTTACAAATAGCCACTACTTCCATGTTTCTTATTTTCTTTCATCATTGACAATTGAATTCTTTCGCATAAGATCATTATTTCAATGAAAGTAACAATATGCATGCATTTTTGGACCATAAAAAAATATTTCTCCTGATATATTAAGTTTGTTAGTTGCTTCTTTCTCTTTTTATCATATTATGCATGTATTTTTGGACCTTAAAAACGAGCAATTTTTTTTTTTGAAAATTAAATGTAGGTGGAGACAATGGCAATGAAGAGCATGAAGTTTAACATGTAATTTCTTTCATCTTTATTATTTTACGTTAAAGTGAAAAATTCATAAGCAAATTAGAATTAATTCAATTTTAATGTGAATATTGAACTTAAAAATCAAATTGAAACCCTTTTATAAGTATTCATCAAATCATGTAATTTTAAATATATGTTTTAAATATATATAGAAATTTGGAATAAGAAGAATACCTAATTTTGTTTTATAGTAATCATATAAAATAATTTTGTCATTATATTAAATCGTGATATTACATCTTTTTACCCCTCATAAATGAAAAAGATATTTCGAGAAGCTAAAATCAATCGTAATATAAAAAAAATTACTTTATCAACTTTATTCTATTAAAATTAAAAATAATATAAGTGTGTTTAGAAAAGATGATAGCACCACATTTTAAGTGTGTTTAGAAAAGATGATAGCACCACATTTTAACGCCACAAAAATAAAATATTTTTCTGTATCATTATTATAAATAAAATCTTTTAATTATGAAAATATGTTTAAATGACAAGTAGGATTTTTTTAAAGTTGAATACAGATAAGATAAGAAAAGGAATAAAAAACATTATTTTTTTCTCAAAGAAAGATAAAATCAAAAAAGGAACAAAAGAAGTATCAACGAATTATAAATATGTAGCTGAAATAAATGTTCCATTCCTAATAAAGTCTTTTAAAAATAAAATTTATATTGAATTAGAAAAATTAATTTAAAATAAAAAACAACAACATTAGAAAAACACAGATTTGAAATGGTTTTGCTTAAACATGTAACCATCTTTTGCTATTTAATTCCTTTATTAGACACAACTCCTTATTCCTTTATCTATTTGATACATTAATTCTACAATTACATATACTTATAAAAAATGGCAATATTTTTATTAAAAAAATAAGTTGTAAAGAAAAGATAAATAATATGTTTGATAAATTCTGATGAAATAATAACATTTTTGATACATATATATTAAATTTTGTAACCTTACATTGATAAAAGTTGATGTTATTATATGAGTTTCCTATTAAATCAAGACAAGAAAAGTAAATAATATAATAAAATTAATTAGTTATAAAATTCTGTTTATGATCATATTAAACAAACTTTATAGCCCTTAAGTAACTTCGTGGAGGTTATCACTATGATCGCCATTTTGGTAAATTCCATAAAAAGACAAACCATAAATAATTATCAAAAGATTGTTTTACATTTTGATTGAAATTGAGATGAAAATTTGCCACTTATTCAAATATAGATAAAGTTGTAGAGGTAATTTGTTAAAATAATAATATATATTTATATAATTATTACTCTCTCACATTATTATTTCATTTAAAGTAATATTACATTTGAATTGTTTTATACAACTAATTCTATTTGAATTGCATATAAAATCAATTTTTTGAAATTTTATAAGAATTGTTTTATAAAATTTAATTGCATATGATATAAGATCTCACGACAATTTTAAGTAAAGTGAAAGCAATTTTTTTCTTCTATTATTTTTTAGATTATGACAACCTTCCGATAAAAGTGAACAATAACATTTTAAATAAACTGAAGTAAATTGAAAAGATAAAAATAAAACTTGTAAATTTAATCTAACGACCTATTTCCTTGGTTATAGAGAAGCCAACGGGAAAGCTTTTTGGGCCAAAAACTTTTCGTAGTCACTTTGTAAAGACCAATTTCATTGTTATAGAAATGTCAATGGAGGAAAATCAGGTTCGAAAAAATATTTTCATAATACTAGGATTTTTCAAATCTTGTCTAGATTTGAAGAAATTAGGATTCATCAAGGGGTAGGGAAATCTTGTAGCAATCAGTGGAGTAAATTTAGATTTGAATACAAGAATGGATTAATAACTCGTTAAGGATTTCCTATGACTTTACGACTTAGAATTTGGATAAGTAGGTCATCGGGAATGACTTTGGCATTAAGGGCAGTTTCTGAGCGTAGTGGGCTATGCTATGTTATGAAAGGGGGGAAATTGAAAATCCCTGAGGATCTCACCGCGTCGCCTTATGCCGCTACAGTGACGCCGCTATAGTGGGATGGGTGTCGCTGTAGCAGACGAGGCAGAGGTTTATTTATAGGATTTTTGAGATTTTTTAAGACGGAGCTCATTGGTTCAAAAAGTGTCACTGCTGCGACGCCGCTACAACGGGATGGGTGACGTTATAGCGGGATGACGGGTTTTTAATTTCTAAATAAAATCCTTAGATGACCTGATTTTGTATGTTTTGACTTTTTGAGTTAAGAGACGACTCCTCGGCTAATCCTACTCGTTTTATACCATTCTTGAAGCTAGCGATAAGTTTTTCACTCCTCAATTTCGTTTTTCAGAATGGTTCAATATTGATGGGGAAGGATTTCTTGAAGAATCCTATGGTGGAATTAACCCTAAATTGACTAGTTGGGTCATGAGTTTTGAACTAGGGCTCATAGTTTGTTAGTATTAGGGGAATTTGGTGTTTCTTTATTGATTCTCGTATATAAATTGTTGTTTGTAGATCACGAACAAGTAGAACAAATCCAGAAAGGGAAGGATCAAGTTGTCTTGGGTTTCAAGCTTGTTTCGAGGTAGGTCATGATTGTGATATCTATGATTGTCTGATATACACTTGCTTTTCTTCGTTATGGTACTTGTATATGTATTGCAATATTGATCATAGATGTTGAAATGAGATATATGAATATCGATACCATGAAATCATGACTTGAATATGTTTTTTTGATGTGTTATTGTGATGTGTGATTAGGATCGGCTGCCACGTTCTGATACTCTAACTTGGATCAAATTGACACGTTCCGGCATGCTAACTGGGATCGATTGCCACGTTCCAACATAAGAATTGGATCGAATTGCCACGTTCCAACATGCTATAAGTTTGACTTTGTGTTCCATGAGAGGACCAACTATGTGATGAAGCATGTGAATTGTGATGTTGATTTTTATGATAATATTGAATATATTGATATTTATGCATGTGCTATAATATTGTAATTGCTTGTTTATGTTACACTAATGGATAGCCGAACGATACTACTAGTACACTATGGTTGTGTACTTATTCTCCAGTTGCTCCTATTTTTGTTGAGTACATGAAATCTTCACGCGACTATTGACAAATCTTGCTAAGTAGATGGATGATTTATTCGAGTTCATGGGTGAGGCACATCGTTCGGGATGCCATGGAATCTCTTTAGTCTATGTCCACCATTTTTGGACGTAGACCTTGTTTTAGTTAGTTAGATTGTTCACTACAAATTCTTGTTAGATTTTGTTCTCATTTCTAGTTTTAGTGCATTGACTTTCATGTTCTAGGTTTATTTCTGCATTGTTAGTTAGTTATTAGATCTTTATTTAGTAATGAAACTTTGTCTTTAGTTATTTAACTTGCTTCCGTAACATAAATGCTTTAGTTTTAGATATCTTGCTTTAGTTGGATAGTAGTAACGGTTCTCCCACCGAGTAGTTAGTGTGGGTGACAATCACAACAATCTGCGTCGTGACAAAGTTGATATTAGAGCCTAGGTTCATTGATCTTGTTCTACTGAAATGAGTCTAATAGAGTATTGCATAACGGTATGGGAACACCTTTACTTTTCTTCGAAAAGCTATAGGACTTTAGGAAATCTCTATTTTCTCTCGTCTCTTTTCGTCTATGACTTGATTCCATGGTTTTTGACGATTCAAATTGGTATCTAACTTCTTCTACTTTTCTATCCTTAAATGGATAATACTAGGTATAACGACGTTAGGCCCGTAGCTCATGCTAATTCTCAACCAGAGGAATCCGCATCGAGAGGTCGCGGTCGAGGTAGATGTTGAGGAGGTTGAAAATGATGAACGTGTGAAGGATGAAGTTAGAAGAATCCCTCCCATTGATTTTGTGTTAGCTCAACAGATCATGTCATTTTTGAAAGAGTTGGCTGGTCAAGGGATGATTCCACCTACTCAAATCCCCGCGAATCCTCTTGTTTCTAGCACTGTGCCCAAGCTGGTTGGGGAGGTAGGTAATAATGCTTTTTTCCATCCTTTATTGGATTTTGTGATGACCGTTAATGAGCATGATATGCTGACCATATTTTTAAGCTCAAGCTCCCGTTATTTGTTGGTCTGAGACAGAGATTGGATTGTAATGAGAGGTTGCATAAGTTGGCATCATTCACCAACATGAGGTTGAGTTCATGTTGTTTCAACTTAAAGGTGAAGACAAGCAATGGTGGTAGCTTATATGGAATGCACAACCTCTACATTACCTCCACTTATGTGGATGATATGCTCAAACTTACTTCTCGGATAAGAAGTAAAGCGGTCGTGTCAAATAAATAACCCAACTAGTGAGGTTGGAATCGTTCCCACGAGGAAAATAGTCTAGACTTACCTTCAACTTGTTATTACTATTGCTTGGTCAATGACTTCCTTGGAAAGTAAAAACATCAAAAGGGGGGTTTCTATTTCTAAATGAGTGTAAATAAATAACAAACTTGAAAGAGACACTTAACAACTTTGATAGTTGGATTTTAATCAATTAATCAAGGTAACTAGGGTTTACGTGTTCCCCACAGGTCATAACTTGATAATTCTAACTATGACAATTCTTTCCTAGTATCTTGCATGCAAAGTGATAAGTTATGTATTTCTAAATCCTTGGTCCGGCATCTAGAAAATCTCACTCCGCACCTTGGTCCGGCTACATGTGTTGGTATCCTAAACCTTATCCTTACCTCATATTAAGCATCGTATTCAATATTTGACTAAGTTATTGCCTCGTACCAATCAATACTATCCTATTAGATAGTATACACTAAATATATGTTAATAATTCTTTTCCTATTATCTACCTCCTTAGTCCGGCTAGTAGCATTAAGGCGAGTTCTAACGGTGGCCATCCGTTAAAAGGACTTCTAAGCGAAAGAATTATTAATACATGCAAGACACTATTCTAGAATTGTTATTTTAGTTAGGGCTTATCTTATTATTTGCCTATGGTTCTCACAACCCTAGTTATGGAGGTTAGTTACTCATAGCCATAAACATAATATTCAAATATAGTAGATAAGAATTCATGTACTTACTTCAATGAGAAAGATTAGAATCCAAAAGTTTGCTTGATTAATATCCAAAAATCAGTTGCACTAATGTCAAAGTAACAATAATCTCACAAAATCTCAATGTAATCTAACACTAATACAAAGGGTCTGATAATATGATGTCAAACCTAATAGAGTCTAACAATACGGAGTTTTTTTTCAAAAACGAGGTTTTTCGAACTATTTATAAATAAAACAAGAACCTAATTAAACAAGGATTCTAATTGCTGGAAATCTGCCAAAACGCGGCTGGATCGACGGACCTCGCGACGGACCGTTGTGGACACAACGGACCGTCATGGACTCCTTCGTCCCATACTTGTGCAATTTCTTCTGCTGCTCTCTTCATTCCCCTCGACGGCAAGTATGACGGACCATCATAGGCACAACGGTCCGTCGAGGGTCTTCGTTCCAAAACACTTCAACTCTTGGAATCTGGGTACTGGATCACTTCTCTGAACTTCAGATGAACCTACAGGATGGATTGTCATAGCCACGGCGGACCGTCACAAGCTTCTTAACCCCACACTTGGTCAGACTTCCCCATCTTCCTTCAGCAGCTTTACTACGCTGCCACCTACGGACCGTCACAAGCACGACGGACCGTCATAAGCTCCGTAGGTGGTCTCTTTTGCATTTCTTCACTCAAAATCTCCGCATTCAACTTTGGACAGATTTCCTGCAAAACAAAGAGAAACTTATATAGAAACTAGCACAAAAAGGATTTTGGACACACTAAACTTAAGGAAAAAGTATTAATAATACCGTGAAACCACGGTATATCAACACCCTCAACTTAAATTCGTTGTTTCTCCTCAAGCGACGCACTATGACTCAATTCAAAATCTTTGTACAATAGTATCCATGTTTTATCCTTTGCAATCATTTGACTATCAATCTCGATTAATCTCATCAAATCTATGCATGCTATCACTATTAGGCTTGAATTATGTGGGATCAGAACATGACACAGACTCACCATGCACTAATACCTATCCTCTCAATTTCTCACCGAGGTTCTAACAATTCTGGTATTGCAACTAGTGTCCTCACTTTAAAACAAAATTCTCTTTTTTCACACAATGATTTCAGTTTGAGTATAAGGATTACTTTTCAACACTTGTTTTCAGAACAAAGTCACACTCATTCATACCTATTGCCATAAGCTTTCCCTTACTTTTACTGCCTTAAGTTCGCTATACAACCCTTAGGATCACGATAGGACTTTCTTGGCTTGTAACATAAGCCCAGGGTCAGGTAGGGTATATTTAGGTATACTTTAGTGACTTTTTGACCTCCTTGACATTTCGGCTAAACCTTCCACTTTCTATCATTTTATCTTGCCCAGTTTTTCATATTCTTTCACATTGCTATTTTCTCTTCTTTCTTCATTTGTGTAAGTGACTCTCTTCTTTTCTTTCTTGTATTTCTTGTGTATTTTTCTTTTTCTTTACTTTTATTTTCATCTTGAGTCACTTTACTTTTTTTTTCTCTCTCTTTGTTCTTTCGACCCCACTTTCCAGAGCATTCCTCATAATAGTCACCCTCAACTCATGGCTTTGCCATGAGTCAAGGTACACAATACCCAAAGTTGGGTCAGGGCCAGAACGAAGGTTGTTTATACATTAGCCACCCTCAACTTATGCTTTTGGCATAAGCTGAGGTGCACATGTCCAAGGAGGGATCAGGGCCAACACATTGTTCCCAGAAAAGATCAGTTGGGGTGAAAAAGAAAGGTCTAATTTTAAGCTCAGATTATTTGGATCAAAGAAGGATAAATTTTATTTGGTTTCTTTTATTTATGCTAGAAATGGGCTATATTGATTAAGGGCCTATGATCCTTTCCTAATTGTCTATTACAGCTTACTTTTAGCACGACTAACCAGACAAGTTCTAGATCAGTACCAATAGTGGACTATTCAAATTTCCTCACACTCACTTGACATCTCATAACTATACCAGATTATAAGACACCTATTTCGAATTTTAGACTTAGGGTAATGCAATGGTGTAACTCTATTTCATGCTTAAAGCAACACAATTATCTGTTACTATGCCTAGTCATGCATCATTTTCCAGTTTATCAGGATATCATTTTAGACATCATGCTTCAGAATTAAACTATGTACAAATGATATAAACATGCCGGTTCAACAAAAAAAGTAATCAGTCTTTTGGGGAAAAAGAACACAGGCAAGAAAACCCCAAAAGAGGATAGTGAATTGGGCTACTCAGACTTCACCCTAACACTCACTTTCCATTTACCTCACCCCCAACAAAAAGACATTCAATTGTCCCAATGCATAACAATAGTTGAAATACAAGAGTGGTAGGTGAAGCAAACCTGGAGACCCTTAAGAGAGGGGTCTCTGACCGCCATGACGGTTATGCAGGACGAACCGTCGAGAGTATGACGGTCCGTCGTAGATATCCGTTGGAGGACCCTTAGAAAATGTGAGAGACCTTTAGGAATAGGGTCTCTGACAACCAACACGGTTGTGCAGGACGAACCGTCGAGAGCATGACGGTCCGTCACATGTGTCCATTGGTGACTGTTTCAGAGTGATTTTCTGCAGAATTTCCAGGTGATGTGCCTGCAAATTTAAAACTCATTAGTAGAGAATGCTACCATTACTAAAAAGACTATAAGTATTGGGTTGCCTCGCAACAAGCGCCAGATTTAATGTCGCGGCACGATTGGGGACCCTTGATTACTTAGACTTCATCAAGATGGTATGCCTCTATCACTTCATTCCCCGATTCTTTATGCTTAAAATAGAGTTTTATTCTATCTCTATTTCTGTTAAACCACACTCCCTCCTTGGCTTTTAACTCAACTGCTCCATGAGGGAATACTTGGGTAATCAGGTAAGGGCCAGTCCATTTGGACTTGAGCTTCCCTGGAAGACAAGGCACCACAGAACTGTCTACAAGCACCAAATCCCCAACCATAAACTCTTGTTTTTCATTTTTCTGTTCAGTGT